ATACTATTCAGATACTAAACAAATGAGCCATCAGATTATTGAAAAGACAGGAAGCCTATGTAACCTACATCCATAAATAAGATATGCTAATTGGAAAGGGCAGCATATTGTAGGGTTTCAGCTGAAACATTGCCAAGAAGATACAAGGGTGATTTAAAAAATGTCAATGGTTGCCTGGTGTTAGGGTTATGGAAGAAAGTTAATAGAGTCTAGAGGATTTTAGGACAAAGAAGTTATTCCATATGATGGTATAAAGATAGATATGTGGCAAAAACAGGATATACAACAGCCGAAGTGACACTGACACCAGCATGGACTTTGGATGGTCCTGACATATCAATATGGCTTCCTTGAATGTAACAGATGGACTGGGTCACAAATGGCAGGTTTGAAAGGAGGCAGGATTACAAAAGTCTACTGCCTATCTAACAGGAAGTGGGTATGGGGCTTTGGGTATAAATAAAGCTAATCCAAATGAGTAGTGAGAGAGAGGTAAAGATACCTATGGCATCTGATCCTGTTAACAGAAGCAACTCTAATTTGGGCCCTGCGTGGGCTAGGAAAGCACCACAGGCCATGCTAGAGAGACAATGGTGACACCATGCTTGAGGTGTTAAGTAGACTTGTATATAAAAATTGATTAGAGATATAGACGTTCTGAAGAGTATAGTGTGCAAACTAGGGCACCAGCTATATTTTCTTTCTTTCTTATGTTGTTGTTTTGGGTTTTCAAGACAGTATTTCTCTGTTGTAGCCCTGGCTGTCCTGGAACTCTCTTTGTATACCAGGCTGGCCTCGAACTCAGAGATCTGCCTGCCTCTGCCTCCGAAGTTCTGGGATTTAAAGCATAAGCCATCACACCCTGCAAATTTTAGCAGGCAATGCCCTGTAGTGCTTCACATGCAGAAGTCGGCAAAGACTGTGGGTATGTTCCTTGAGTTATTACAGCTGTGGACCTCTCATTTGGTGTTTTCCTACATCGTGAAAGCCACATCTATTCATAAACAGAAAAGTGGGTTTTTTTATGTTCTTGTATCATGCTGACACAGTAAGTTAAATACTAGAAAAATTAATCATTTTAACTCTTTTAACACTTAATACTACATGTTGTATCCAGAAAAAGGATAGTTAATAACTTCCTGGATAAGTCATGTTCCAGGTTAACTGTTACACACACACACACACACACACACACACACACACACACACACACACACACAAAGAAAAATGTGTTCTCGCTGCATTTTAATTTATGTCACTTACTTTCCCACAACTTTAACAAACACATTCACTCTATTATAAAGATGAACAATGTGGTAAGTTTACATGGAACTTCCAAAACTTGCCTTGCCCTACAAAGCTACAGTAATGAAATCTAAGCCATTATTTTTAATTTTGTCATTATGTTTAATTGTTTGTACTTGTACATGGTGGTATGTACATGCAAAAGTTCCAGCACCTACAAAGGCCACAGGTGCAGGATACCCCTGGAGCTGGAGGTACAGGCTTGTGGACTACCTGGCAGGAATGATGGGAACCAAACTTGTGTCTTGTGCAAGATCAGTATGTGTTCTTAACCACTGAGCTTTCCAGGCCCCAGGAGACAGTCCAAAAATACTAGCAATACATATTACAAAAATTTTGATATTTTGAGTATATGTTGAATATATATTGAATATATACATACACATACATATGAAGAATTTAGATCAAAGCAGTGTGTCTAAATACAAAAGACAAAAACAAAATAATTAAAACACAATACTAATAAAACTAGCTTTAAATTATTACAAAATGTGAATGAGAATATACAAAGATTTCAAAAACAAATAAAAGTTGGAAAAAGAAGAAAAGGAAAACAAAATAGAAATGTTAGTATATCAGAATAAGATAACCCAACTCAGCTGTTACAGTTTGGATTAAATATTCAAAAATGGTTTAAAATATGACAAAGAAGAAGAAAATAAGGGCACAGAGATTTGTGAACTGATCATAAAGAACTATTAATTAGTGTGATGTCACAAAGCAGTGAGAAGTATCATTTATATTTAAAAAAAACATTGATAGCAAAGCAAGTAGTAACATAACTCCAGTAGCACAGACACTGAGATTGACAATTAATAAATGGGACCTCCTGAAACTGAGAAGCTTCTGTAAGGCAAAGGACACAGTCAGTAAGACAAAACGACAGACCACAGACTGGGAAAAGATATTCACCAACCCATCATCTGACAGAGGGCTGATCTCCAAAATATAAAAAGAACTCAAGAAACTATTCTCCAAAACACCAAACAATCCTATTTTTAAAATGAGGTACAGAACTAAATAGACAATTCTCAATAGAGGAATCTAAAATGGCTGAAAGACACATGAGAAAGTGTTCAACATCCTTAGCCATCAAGGAAATGCAAATCAAAACAACTCTGAGATACCATCTTACACCTGTCAGAATGGCTAAAACCAAAAACACCAATGACAGTTTATTCTGGAGAGGATGTA